ACAGTGAGAGGATGGGTCATTCTCAGTAGCTTAGTGAACTCCAGCGTGGACCTGTGATAGATGCGGCATGTGCAACAAATTGAAAGTTATGAAATTTCCTCACTCCTAAATATTCCACCATCAACTGTCAGCTGTATCATATGAAAATTGAAGTGTTTGGGAAGAAGAGCAACTCAGCCATGAAGTTGAAGCCCAGATAAACTGATGTCGGTTCAGCAGATCCTGAAGCTCATAATACGAACAGGTTACTTTCTGCAGATTCAGTCATTACACACCTCCAAACCTCATGAGGCCTTCAGATTAGCTCAAGAACAGGGAGCTTCATGGAATGAGTTCCCATGGTTGAGCAGCTGCATCCAAGCCATACATCACCAAGTGCAATGCAGTGTGGGATGCAGTGATGTAAAAGTAGGCCACCACTGGACTGCAGCGCAGTTGAGATTGATTCTCTGGAGTGAGGAATCACATTTCTCCATATGGAAATCTGATGGATGAATCAGAGTTTGGCGGTTGCCAGGAGAATGGTACTTGTCTTATTGTAGTGCCAAGTATAAAGTTTGGTGGTGGGGAGATTATGGTGTGGGGTTGATTTCAGGAAGTGGGCTTGGTTCCTTAGTTCCAGTAAAAAGGAACTCTGAATGCTTCAGCATCCCAAGACATTTTGGAAAATCCCATGCTCCCAAATGTATGGCAACTGTTGGAGCTGGCCTGTTCCTGTTCCAACAGAGAACAAAGCAAGATCCTCAAAGACATGGATGGCAGAGTGTGGTGTGGATGAATATGACTGACCTGCATAGACTCCTGACCTCAACCTGACAGAACACCTTTGGGAAGAATTAGAGCAGAGACTCAGAATCAGGCCTTCTTGTGCAACATCAGTGTGTGATCTCAAAAATGCACTTCTGGAAGAATGGCCAAAATTCCAATAAACACTACTAAACCTGATGGACGGCCTTTCCAGAAGAGTTATAGCTATTGTAGCTGTTGACGTCATTGAACCCCTTTGGAATGTAATGTCACTTAAGCTCATATGTGAATCAAGGCAGGTGAGACAATATTGTGCATGTTTGGTGATTTAGATCTATAGTCTGTAAGGGCCCTGTGACACCTTGCTGATTTAGCCAGCTTATGCCTGACATCCCAAAATCTCCTAACGCGTTGGCATATGTTGAACTTTCAACATATTTTTTCAATGTTGGGCGTATACATAGCATATTAATAATGAGTACAGAACTTCTGTCCAACAACAGCCTAACTTATGCATAACACATGGCAGCGTAATGCCCATGAAATGATGCACAAGCCAGTGTCCTGAGGGTGGCAGCTTATACAAAACGTACCCATAAATCACCTACATATGCCATCGTTTTTGCCTGATTTTTCGTAGGTCAGGCATACCTGGCCTAATCATCAAGATGTGAAAGGGGCTTTGGATAAGTTTAAGTGCGGCTTTTCCCACCCCTACTAGCTCTTTCTTTATAAAAGAAAACCTAAAGATATAAAGAATTTCCCTTCAATTCATAGTCCCCAACTGACTTTATAACCCAACTTTATAAACACAGGAAAGCTTCATATCACAACAGATATGTTTTTAATCTTAAATAATGGGTCAATAAAATTATATAAGGATTTTTATAGTTGTATAATGTTTTAGGGAGTTAATGGGGGTGTAGTAATCAGAACTCAGAACTGGAACAAAACCATCTTCATCTTCAACTTTCTAAAATTTGCATTTTCCTTCACACAACCTAAAAAAATGTTTTATTAAATCCTGTAGGGCCCTCAAAGTGGATCTAACCTCCTCATTAATCGAGTTTTGAATGTGTTATGCTAGTGCGTTCTCCTTTGTGTTATTCTTTCTTGCTTTCCAGTATTAGTTTTTCACATTTTGCAGCCAATTCTTTTTCCCTCTTTCTTCTGCTGTGTCTCCCACTGATGGAGGCTCAAGCTGTCCTGTGCCTCAGAAACAGAAATGAGAGGCAAAGCGTGTGTTTCTGCTTTTTGCGACCGCATAATAAGCCAGAAACCAGGCCAGCCCCCAGAAATTGTCCTGCCTCGCCTGACGGCCAGTCTGCGCTGCCACAACTGCAAACCTAAAAGACATCGGCATCCACCTAACCTAATAGACTGAGCAAGGAGAGCATTAGTAAAAGAAACAGCCATGAGGCCCTCTGTAACTTGGATGAAGTGCAGAAATCCGCAGCTTGATGGAAGAGACTGTGACAGGACCGATATGAGCTACACATTTCACAGATCTCAACTTTACTATTGCGTGACAACAGCGACATTATGGTGGACAGAAGGCTGTAACACAGGAGACACAGTAAACATGTAGAAAAAGTTGTTTTGGTCAAATGTAACCAAAACAGCATCTTAACTATTTGGAAAATAATAGATACTGAACACTACATTTCTACTTACAGTAAAACACAGTAGTGAGAGTGTCATGCTATAGAGCTGTTTGTTCTGCAGACACAGTTGAAGGTAGATGGAGCTAAATTACGGCAATGCTAGAACACGACCTGTTGGGGGCAGAATTTCACCTTCCAGGAAGATGGCAGGTTCAAATGTAAAGCCAAAGCTACGATGGATGAACTAGTTTAATTCGGAAAATACTATATGTTCAGACTAAACAGAGCCACTCTAAATCTTACTGACAGTCTTTGTTTTTCTGATTGTTTTACTGCTGAATGAAGATAACATCCCAAGAGCTGATTCTCCCTGGATGGTGCCACCTTCTCACAGCCCCCCACCACCGTGGGAACCTCCAGCATACTCCTGGGACGGTCTGCAAGACAACGTCTCCAACCCCACAGCCCAAAGTTTGACATCCGGTAGGCATTGTTCTTCAAACACATGAATGCTCAAAAAAGCAAGTTAGTTCAACCATCATTAATTCTGATTTATCTACAGCATCCTCTAGAGTGGATCCATTCTTTGCTTCATCAAACAGAACGGCGGCCACAGGAGCAGCCAGTGAAGTTCCACCACGAAGAGGGAGCCCCTCAGGTAAAGTTTTATCTTTTCTTTTTATCAGGTCTGTGCCTGTGTTTTTGCATCTTACAGTGTTTTCCCTTCTGCCAGATGGGGACCTGTTTGACGAAGCCATGGATGGTGGTCCTGCGAGTATTAATGGTCAAGAAGAGGACAGCTCTGACCTGTTCAACATGTCCGGTCTAAGAGACGGCCTCCCTAACGCTGCGCCTCGAAAATGCAAGACACCCGAGGCCTTCCTTGGACCCACAGCTGCTTCTTTGGTCGACCTAGACGCACTGATTCCCAAAAATCCCCCAGCAAAGACCACAAATCCATTTTTAGCAGGTATAATTGCACTACGAATATTTGCACACCTACAGATGAAAGCAGAAGCTAAGAAAGGACGGATATCTTTTTTTCCTTACCGTCTTGCATTACATCAAACATTATCTTTCCTTTTGCAGGTCAAGTTTGATTAACATAATGAGTTAATATTACAAAGTACCTAAATAATCATAGATTCTTTTTTTTTTATTTAGACCTCAGCATACATTTCTTTAGCATTTTGTAGAATTGTCTTTTAAACTATAATTTAAATCAGAAGTTTTGGGTATATTTCACAAGCTATTGCCCAATTCTTACAGAATGAAATAGGCTTTGGTTTATAGACCTTTTTCAAAGGTGCAACATTTTATTGCCAAGAATTGTTACAAGAGTAAAATAAGAAATCAGCCAGAAAGAAACATCCTTACTTGCTCTGCAAAGTAAAATAACAATATAATTTTGGTCTAGGTCTCAGTGCTCCTTCAGCTGCCAATCCGTTCCAAGCCGAGCAGCCGAAAGTCAGCCTGGATGAGATGAGCTCCAGCTTTGAATCCTCGGTTCCCCAAACCTCCTCCCTGCCATACAGTGCCTCACTGCCCTTGCCTACAAGCCACCAAGGTGCTGCCATCCCTTCGTCCCTCACTCACCCCACTCCGCCTGGTCTGGAACTGCCAGTGAAGCTACCCGAGCCTCTGTTGCCCTTCTCCTCAGCTAGTAATGAGGATACACAAATCAATGTGAACCCATTCTTATAAAGACGTCCCAGAAACAAGACCAATATCAGCTAGGAAATGGAGACATAGTAGTGTATGCTCTTGGAATAATACTCATTCTGCAAACCAAACTGCAGCCCTAAAGACTTTTATGAAATGCGTATTATTAATGGTTTTTATATTGTTGTATAAAACCAGTAACCTTGTATTGCAGCAAACTAGTTCTACTCCTTCAAACATCGAATGGAAGCTGTTGAACTGTTAATAATGGGCTACAAATTTAAAGAACAAATACAAACCAGAAGCACACTTTAATATAACGTTGTTGTCTGTGACCTTTGACCTGATGTCTTACAACAGGCAACATGAAAACCAGTTCAGTGCCTGAAAACGCTCCTGCAACAACTCATTTAACCCATGAAGCTTCTGTGGACCAGAACTGATTGGTTAATTCCATGTATATACATTTTGACAATAACTGTAATGAAGATTTTGATTGCGCTTTGATTTTTCCAACATGCAAGAAAGCATCTGGAATGTAAAAGAATTTGCTTGTGAAACACTAACTGATCAAATACAGCAGCACTACAACAACAGTTTTTCGTCTTTAAAATTATTCAGCTTTAATTTTCTACTCACTTCCTCTGTTATCATCAGTACAATTACTTAGAAAAAGTGAAAAAAACTAAAGAAAAAAACATGCACAAAATAAAACATTTTTCCTCTTTATTTTTTATTTACTGCGAGGTAGCTAAAATCCTGATTGGCACCTCCACGTCATTATGCAAAACTTAGATCAGAAATAAATCCTAATGTACCAAATTTTCAATCTTAATTAAAATAAATAAAAGCTCTCCAGAGACCAATAAAGAAAAGAAATTAAAAAAAAAACAATACCTATACATTCATATTCTACCCAAACACTGAAAATGGTATAAAAAAAAACAATTTACCTGAGTAAATTATAATATCACACAAAAGTTCATCCATTTTATGGATAAATATTTATTACACGCTTAAAGACCTAAATAGAGAATGACTTTGGATACAGAAATGTTATGTGATGACCATGTTTTGACCTACACAATGAGGAAGACTGCTGATTGTGCAGTTATCCAGTAAACAATGACACTCTCCACCATGAGGGTACGCCATAATGGGTTATTGCTTAGTAGGCTGGTTGTGCACATGGTGATGAGAGAAAGCATATTGTTAGATGGTTGGTTGGAAGGAAAAGGATCCCTGATCCAGTATTAAGCACATACACAGTTTTGTTTTTCTTGACATTATACTATTTTTTATTTTCATGAGCTCTATGGCAATAGGGTGGAATTTTACTGAATTGAATGCTCAAAATGTATATTTGTTTGTAGGAGAAAAACAAATCGGTACTTAATGAGAGTTTCTCTTTTCGTATTGACTTATAAAAATAATACTTTTTTCAGTCTTATTCAATTTATTGGGGTGCTTTTAACAGTTTTACATTCGGAGCACCATCTTCAACCTGCTGATCATTTGTGCCATGCACAATGGCACCATTTCCATTTAAGCTCTTAGGTTTTCAAGTGTTCTTCTTTTGAGGATGAGCTTTATACTCTTTAGAGTTCTGCTGGGAGTTGACCAAGAGATAAACACCTGGTAATTTTCACACACACCACTTTTCCCCAATGTATGCGATTTAAACCACTGTTCAGCTGAGAGAAACGTAGACTTTCACTAAACTAATATCAAATATAAATGGTCCCTCTTTAACAGTTTAATTATCCCTCATTTCTAAGCACAACTGTATTTAGCTTTCATAGTGGGCCATATTTTCACTTTTGTTTCATCTCTACACACCAGTGTCTTAGAGAGAGGCTGACCTACATCTGACTATTTTTGCAGCTATTTTTACTCCCTTTTTATGTCTTTCTTGGAATCATTTCTTCCCTTTCTTATGTCTTTTATAGTCAGCATGGATTCTTTATAAAATATTCCACAAAATGAGGTTGTTACAATTCATATGATATACTCTATATTCTGCAATTACAAAACAGACTTTCAATTACTTATAATTCAAACCTTAAGACCCTGAAGTAAATTCCATTTCAAGTCTGTATTTTTACTGATTTTTTATATCTATTTTGTTTTGTGTCTTTAATTAACTTAAATCTAAGCAGTAAGAGTTTAGGTCAAACTCTCATCCTCATTTGAATCAGATTATAAGTGGTCTTAACCTGCTTTTAAAGAATTTGCTCACTAAAGAATTTAATAAGAAAAGAATAAGGAAAAAACATTGGCAGATGAAACCTAAGGTAATACTGAAAAAGTGTCACTATGTACACTTTCAAACAAATATTCTTACAATTTGTCCTCTTAATTTATCCTATTGCATTTTCTCATATGCACTATTTTATAGTCCAACACTAAATGTGATTGTCTAAAAGATTCTATTTTAGACACTGAATCTGGATGTGATCATCAGTAAGGGTTTTCCAAGCTACCAAATGTGTTTCACTTGACTGCGACAGACTCCAGCCAGCTCAACACCTCTTGCAGACCTTGTCCAGAGCGAGCGCTGGCCTCTAGCGTTGTGATAGGCTGAGGAGCTGATGAAACGATGTCATCTATTCTGAATAGTGATTTTATCTCTGTCAGACTCATGAGGCAAGGCATATCCCTGGAAAAATAAAATAAAAAAGGTTGGAATGAAATATCAGGAGAAACAACAAATCTCAACAAGATAAAAAGTTTAAATATTACTCCCTAACATGATTTAACTAAACTTGCTCATCTGAACTGATGCCATAAATACCTCTTGTTAAAGAGAATAAGCACAGAGACATTGCGCAGAGGGTCAGCAGAGAGCACAGACAGCAACTGGATACAGGAGGAGGATATCTGAACAATGTTGGCTGAATCCACCATGAACTGTATGAAATATATAAAAACAGATTAAAAATAAAATATAATATGAAAAAACTAATATAAAAATAAATGGAACAACTATACAAAGCGCATACAATCACAGCGAAGCAGTCCTGGAAGTAACTCGGCCATATTGGGCCCATGCAGCCTCCGATTTCCCTCACAGTCACCTTCTTCTTTTTCAGGGTCAAATCTGTTAGGTTGGTTCCTACCTGCAGATTAAAGATGTTACCATTATGGTGATAAAGTGCTCTTAAAATTGACCCCAGACTGCATTTTTGGGGCCCTAAACAGAACTGGATTATGGAGTCATTCAGGTGCCATTTTTCTTAATTATACTTTTTTCCATCATATAATAAACACTTTAAGATGTTGGTAAAGAACTGCTGACAATCTCAGCTTATATATCTATATATATATATACATTTTGTATTAAAGGATTATTTAGATGCCATTTAAAAAGAAATATTAATGCAGTTTATTTAAACATCCTAGATTATTGTGGATACTTTTGAAAACACATTTTCACAATAAATCTCTGCTTTTGGTTTTCTTTCCTTCTCATAACCTTTCTTCTCTAAGGATTTCTTCCACTTGGACGAGAGCCTTTGAAGTTTTATACAAAGTGAGACCGCTGCCGTGTTTCACTGTGGGTGGGGTGTTTTGGGGCTAGAGGGCTCTCCGTCTTTTCCTCAAATAAAAGCAATACTTCTATGTTCAGAGAGCGTTAGTGTTCTTTCCTAATCTGACCAAAGGAAATGCTTTCAGTAAGCAGATTTTTCTCCAGCAGGTCTCTGATCTTTTTCCTGTCCTGCAACGATGCAGACCTTTAGTTGTACTCTTATAAGATTCCTGACTAGTACATGGATTAGCATCTTGGCAGTTGTTCAGGAGTTTGTAGACATGTACCATAATTTAAAATAATAAAAACACAATTTCAAAGCAATGACATTAAAATAAATTGTCAATTTTTTTCATCAGCTGCATATGAAGAACATGAATATCTGAAGATTATCTGTGCAATTTTGAAACCTCTTCTTTAGCATTTCAATACAAAAAGTAGTCCGAAATATGCTACCTGCAACCAGCAACATATTATGATATTTATAAACAGCTGCCATTTTTTTCGCATTCCTTGGGCTTCAGATGGTGTTACAAGAAAAAAAAAGCTGTTCTGATCATACATAAAAACTACTTACTGTGGGAAGGGTTGATGGAGGGGAACCCATTTCACATGAGCCATGTAAAGTGATCAGTATAAAATAAAATATGTAAGGAAAACATAAGTGAACAATAACTGAAATGCGAAAATTTGTTTTACGATTCATAATTGCATAGGTTATTACTCAAGACACATGATGCATCTTAAAAAACGAGTTGCAGACCTTTAAAGCCAAGTCACAGCAGGCTAAGCTACATTAGCCTTTGAGCCTATCCAGCCCTGACATCTATTCCAAGAACACTGAGATTAAAGGATATTTTGTAGGCGTTTAAGTAATAACGTTTTCCCAACACCAGTTGCTCCGATAAGTAAGCACACTTCTTTGCTGCTCATTATTTCGTTTTATTGTAACGCAAGGTAGGAGGGAAAGACCGTATATGAAACCAGTGGTAACATGTTTTCGAAGTTACTCCGTTTGACAACCATGGCAACGCTCACGTGGTCACGGTCCTTAGCAGCAATTGGTCGAGATAGAACTCAATCATTTCTGGGCTGCCTCTGATTGAGTTCTATGACGACCTATTGCGGATAAGGACCGTGATCACGTGAACACGCTCCTTAGCAGTAATTGGTCGAGTTAGAAGTCAATCATTTCCAGGCTGCCTCTGATTGGCCGCAATGTAATCCGCATAAATAAAGCGGAAACAAAACATTTCTCTCAGGCCTTAACGAGTCCTCGTTGGTTAAAACGACGGAAGCTGTCAGATCGAGAGACTTTCCTCTGATCTGCTGAAATTTACTTTCTATACAATTATGGAAGGTAAATTAAAAAAGGAGCTGGGGACCACGACGCTGAAGCCAGTCGGTCACGCAGGCGGTGGATGCATCAGTGAGGGCCAGAGTTACGATACCGACCATGGGAGAGTGTTTGTAAAGATCAACCATAAAAGCGGGGTATTTGTTTAAAAAAATAAACGTATCTTTCTGGTTAGCTGGCGTTTTCTATCTGACATCAGTGAAAATGATTTGCTCTAGATATTGCACGCTGTGAATGCATCCGTCCTTGAATTGTGCAGTTATTTTAGACTTTCTTAGACAAATTAGATTGTCAGTTTGTATACATTCAGTGTATACAAACTGAGTGTATACAGTTTTTCAGACAGTAAATTAACATTTCCATTCCATAAATTGCAGCAGTGATAAAATGTAAACAGTGTGGGAGAAAAAAAAAACCAAACAACAAAAAGATGCATTGATATGGAAGTTCAGAGCATTTATATATATATATATATATATATATATAATGTTGCAATTATGCAGAGTCTGTGACAGGATTTAGAGTTTTTTTCTTTTTTTTTCAAAACAGTTCAGCAGTCTGATGGCATTATTATCACTTTTCAAGTAATAATAATGCAGTTACCAGAGGTGTCAAGTAACGAAGTACATATACTTTATTACTGTATTTAAGTACACTTTTTACGTATCTATACTTTACTCCATTACTTATTTTTCTTCCTACTTCTGACTTCTACAAGTATCTGTACTTCCTTTCTATATAAACAAACATTACTTGTTACTCTTTGATTCAGTTTAATGTTTATAATATATATATATATATATATATATATATATATATATATATATATATATATATATATATTTATTTCAAGTCATGTGCGCCATCCAATGCAGATCGTTGGCGCCATCCACATCTAGTGAAAAACAGTGTAACTGGATGAGTCATATAATGCAAACACTCATTGGTTATCTATTAAATTTGTGCTGACACTAAAATAAATCAACAAGCAAGCAGGTGTTTTTCAAACTGTAAACGTTGGTTGTCTATGCCATGCTACTATGTCTGATTCAGAAAAAGATGTTGAAATGTCTGAAAGGTCAGACACAGGCCAGAGCGTATCGGGAGATGAAGATGGAGACCAACAAGACCTCCCTCATCCTTGGCCCTATGTCAAAGAATTTTTCAAAATAGTCGAAAAATTGAGCTTTCGGTTCATATAGTGGCATTTGGCTGTTTTTTTTAAAGGTTATTTTATACTTTAAATAGTTTTTGGAGCACATACACACTACACGGCTTAACCACTGATTTTCGTTTTTTCAGGCCAAATTGATGTTTGATGGAGAGATGTTGAGCCTGGAAACTATTTTAAAGACCGAAACTGTCAAAGTCCCAAAGCCAATAAAGGTGATTGACCTCGACACAGGAGGCTGCGTATTTGTGATGGAGCATCTGGACATGAAAAGTCTCAATAAGTGAGAACTCTTTCCTTCTGTTTGCAGACTCTTGTAGGAGATTCACAAATCCTTTTCTGTCACATTATATTACGAAGTACAGCTTTAGACCTTTGTCATTAATTTAGGATTGTCTGTTTCACAGATTACACAAAAATGTATTATTGGGGCATGAAACAGATTTGTTGTTTTTAAGAAAATTTGCATCCAGCAACTTCTTGAATTACTGAAGTCATATTTGTGCACGTGTTTATCAGGCTTTCTATCTGATTGCTATTCTCTTATTTTTATGTATAAATAAATAAAAAACACCATAATGTTTTTATGATTAATCTTTGTCAAATCTGTTGAGTAGGTTCTCTAAACAGCTAGGAGAGCAGCTGGCCGATCTACACCTTCACAACAAAAGACAAATGGAAAAACAAAATAAAGAACAGCAAACTGTAGGTAAATTATTTTAATTTTTATCTCAGTGCATGCAAACATCAGGGAACACACATTTATAAGCTTTTTTTTTTTTTTTTCAAACTATATTTGGGAACTGATTTATTTTTTTATTCTATGTCACCCTATTTTAGGTAAAGGGGCTGGACAAACCGAGATGGCTCCTATTGAAAATTATGGCTTTGGAGTAAACACTTGCTGTGGATATTTAGCACAGGTTAAAATGCATATCTACATTAGTTATCTGGAAACATTCCAGTCACAGTTTGCACTGTTTTTTGTCATTTTTTAAAAATGTATTTATTTTTTCTATGCCGCTCCAGAATAATGATTGGCAGAGCGACTGGGTGCAGTTTTACTCCCAGCAAAGGCTGCAGCATCAACTGAACTTGGTGGAGAAATCACACGGAGATCGAGAGGCCCGAGAACTGTGGGCAAAACTACAGGTATACCAACTAACAGAACATTTCCTTTAATCTCTGCTCTACAACTATGCAGTGCACAAACAGTGTCTGTTCTTCACAGCTGAAGATCCCAGAGTTTTTCACCAATGTGGACGTTTTCCCTGCCCTCGTTCATGGAGACTTATGGGGAGGCAACGTGGCAGAATATGCAAATGGCCCAGTCATCTTTGACCCAGCTTCCTTCTATGGCCACTCAGAGTTTGAGTTGGCTATTGCTGGGATGTTTGGTGGCTTCAATAGCTCCTTTTACTCTGCTTATCATGATAAGATTCCTAAAGCACCAGGATTTGCACAAAGAAACCAGCTTTACCAACTCTTTCATTACCTGAATCATTGGAACCACTTTGGTGGTGGCTACAGAGGTTCTTCGATAAGAATAATGAAGGATTTGCTCAAATAAAAATTCTCATAGATACTTTTAAAAAAAAAAAGCTTTCATGTCTTAATGCAAAACCCAAAACATTGGGCAGAGAGTGAATGTTTCAGCTAATTCCCATCACAGGACTGATAAAGTATCCACTTACTTAATATAATTTCTCTGACACTGTGTTGAAAGTGGAGAAATACGTTACTGTAGATTAAATGATTGCAATACCCTGCTTCTCTTAATCCAGTGAATAGAACAGCAGCGAAATCAGTCAAGTAAAGGTTTATTTTGGGGCGTTTAACTAAGAAATCCTAACTAGTAGAATAAAAAGAAGTTTGACATCACACCAAGAAGCTGGTAAAATGGTCTTAATAACACCATTGCCATTTTAGGATCGTGCATGGACTTCCTACCCAATTCTACTTTAACCTTTAGTTAGTTTATTATTAACTTAGTTTGAGACCTTATCTCAGGTTCCCCCCTTGCTGTTAACACAACCAGACTGTAACCACATGATCATAAATAGGTAAAAACTCCGGTTCAAGTTAACCTATTTACCTACTGGGATTTATATAATTGGATATTTTTGTTCAGAGTGGCTTGGCACAGGAGCAAATGCTGTTAATCTGCTCAATTTTCTTTTTGTTTCCATTGTATTTGAACCCAAATAAATTATACTGGTGTGTAAATGTGATTTGATTTCGATAGAACTCCAGTTACTGTCATTTTAGTAGATTGGATTTATGCATTCCTGTACTCTGAGAGTCTTACAGAAATCCCTGATTTGCACTGGTTGACAAACAGTCTGCTGTTAAACCAACAATAAATTATGCATTGATTCCAATTATGTTTCTTGACTATCTTCTTTCACTTAAAATAATGATTAAAATCCCACTTTCTGAATACCTGAGAATGTTATGATGGCTTTGATGTACAAAAAAATAAATTTACTAAATGGTAAATTCATATGAAGTTCCAGCTGTCATTAGCTGTTGCAAAAACTTGCACTCCAATCGTTTGTACAAGAATTCCATAAAAGTAAAAAAAAAAAAAAATCCACTGGACTTGTGTTTCCAAGATTTGAAGACGTTTCGCTACCTCTCCAGGAAGCTTTCTCAATTCAAATGTCTGGATCCACAGTGAGTTTGAGTCTTTATTTAGACAAGGCCTTGTAAAACTTTTATGGAATAACTATGACCTGGATGACTGAGAATCTTCATCAGCATTTTGTACAAGAACCAACTCGAATCGTTCATTTGAAAGAAAAAATAAATAAAATAAAAAATAAAAGAACTTGCAAATTTGGTTGGCTCCATCACGATCGTAGGCCCGGCCCCTGAACACTAACCTTACGTTTGTCCCAAACCACATAGTGGGTAGGTTTAGTTGACCATTCAGGCCTTGAATAGGGACTCTGCATTAAGTGTGCTACAGCCACACACGGGGTGTTACTGTGTTGCCTTAGCAACGGCAGCTTTCTTTTTCCATTTGAGGGAAGAGGCCAACCCATTCTCTTATATAAACCCCTACCTGTAATCAAGGCACCTTCCAAAACTGCGAGTGTGACTTTATTGCAAGTAGGACTTGATAGTTTAGTGTTAGTGGTTAGGTAGCATTTTGGGATTCAGCTGTAACATCAGCGTACATGGTTAGTGAACAGCATCAGTGGCCCAATCCCAAACCTACCTCTACGCAATAACAGAGGGTCCGCCAAGGGCTGTCCGAAGCCATGTAATGGGTATGGCGAATGGACCGTTCAGCCAGTAAATAGCCGCTAAATCCCAAACCACCCCCTAACCACTAACCTTAATTATCTGAGGGGGGAGTGGCGGCCTAGTGGTTAGGGCATAGAGCTTGGAATCATGAGGTTCTGGGTTTGAGCCCCACTGCTACTCTGGCTTTCTGAGCAAGACCTTTAACCCTACACTGCTCCCTGTCGGCACCCCACTGCTC